GTGGGGTGGGGAGGGGGTGGGTGTGTGGTGGTGTTTGGTTTTTTTTATTTTTAAATACAGTCACATTCTGATCTTTGTTGGAAGGGAAGCTGAAGTTCCTTGTGTATGCTTGATACTCTTTTTTAAACCAGTTTAATCTGTGAGGAAATAATACTGTTTACAAGTACAGACTGTAGGTTTGGGGTTCCATTTCATAAAAACCAAAATGCATATCTGAAGCATGTCAACATACTAGGCTCTTCCATCTCATAAATCAGACAGAAAACCCTTAAATGTAAACAAAATTAGACTCCAATGAAACAAGAATTGTGTACACATGCCTTTCTTAATAAATAAAAAGCATACCTTTGTAGACATTTAAAGTTATAGTCCTAACAGCGATCCTGACCATGCTTTCTGGGTGGTTAAAAAATTTAATAGCTTCAGTGTACAAAGCAAAGTCATTAGTGTGCTGTAATAAGAGGAAAGAAAATTTATGATTAGGCAAAACATGTACAGAATATTCGTTGGGATTCTGTATCAAAAATGTTTTCCATGTATTAATCTGACATTTTAACCTTCTACTTAAGTAATCAAAATGCTTTTACAATGCAGAGTCAGCTGTATTTGCAGCCCTGCATTAAAATAAACCGCTTTAAGCGTCAGAGCTTTCCGTGTTCACTCTGCACATATTCAGTGCTTTAATGCCCTCTTCTGGCAAAAAGTGGAATGGAGGGAGGAAAAAACCATTCAACTTTGACCTTTGACTACTTAGGCTTTTTAGACTTTGACTAAGCTGCCTAGAACCAAGTGGTGGAACAGAAAAGATCCTGTTTATACAGGCACAAGAAAACAAAGCATAAAAACGTTGAATTCTCAGGGAAATAGGCTTCAAAACAACTGAAACATTCCAACATAACACTAACTTCCATATTAATTTCCAGGCAAGGCTTTGAGCAACCTGGTCTACTGGAAGGTGTCCCTGCCCATGGCAGGGGGGTTGGAACTGGATGGTCTTTAAGGTCCCTTCCAACCCAAACCATTCCATGATTCTACGATTTTGATTTTATTATAGTTCTAGGAGGACAAAGACCTCCTTTATCATGCTTTTGCAGAGATCCCCACAAATGAATTTTTAATCACTGAAAGTACTGTTATAAAAAATAAATGTAGTTCATGCTGAGACAAGAGACTAACCAGAATATGTGCCAAGCGGCTATCAATTCCCAATAAAGTCCACTCACCATAACACTGCAACTCTTTTCTTCACTTACCTCATTATAGAAGAAATGTACAGTATGATTGTTGAGTTTCAGTGAAAGAGTTTTCAAAAATGATATGTAATATGCCATGATTTCCTCATCAGAAAAGTCAAATTTGTGGACAATAATAGAATTTACATAGTTGTTAGACAGCAGGTAGTCTGAAACATAAGAGACATTAAGGGGGTTGACAGAAAGAAAAAAAATCACTATGCTAACTAGCTGTGTTTCCTGCTAGCAACAAATTATCTGATGCTTCAAGATTCCAACTTTGGGCCAAATTACAAACTGATGGCGTCAAGTGGTAATATAAAGGGTGTTCCCTGCAAAGGTCTTTGCTCCCAAGAACAAGAAAACTGAGAATATACTTCACCTTCCTCAATTTATGCAGGCTCTGCAGCTAGTTACACTCAAACCAACTCTCTTATCCTCCCAGCCATAGACTCAAAGGCTTGTATACGACTTCTTCTTCATGAGAGTTGTGGACTACTTTAAACTATTAGTTCTCTGCCTCTTTCTATGTTTCTGAAAACCTTGGGGTAAACGCAAATGGCTGAATGCCAGCCCCAATGACGTCAAAACAGTTCCAGTACAAGCTATACAAGAGTTGCATGACATCATCTGTAGCAGTCAGGTGAACATTTCAGACCACAACTAATCTGCTGACTTAAAGAACCCCTTGAAATATGATAAATGTTTCAGTAGTGTTTACATTAAAAGATATTTGGGAGTCAAATTACACTGTATTTTCAGTATTGTTCAATTAAAAAGGTTGTTAGAAATCCATATAGTTCTTCTGTGAAGGAACACTAGGGCTAAATTTCATTAAATGAACGGGAATTCAATCAAATCTTGATCACTTCATTCTAAGGAGTTTAAAGTGTGCCCTTACACAGTGATGTTTCATGACTGATGTTCTCAAAAAGGATGTTCAGGGTCTGCAGAAGCTGTACACACACGTAACGACCGGACTTCTGACGCAAGATGTTCAAGAAGAAAACAAACATATTCTTCTCCAAGAAAAAGCTGGAATAAAATAGAGGTGTCATTAAGTCTCTTTCTGTATTTAACAGGAACATAATTTTACAGGATCAGGGGCAGTTCTAGGCAAGTTTGACAAACAGCATGTTTTGCATTTATGAAGAATTATTTTGCAAAGTTTTATCTGTATTACAGAGATTTATCTTTCTAACACCTTAAATACTAACAAGGGCATTTAAATATTCAAATTATGCAGAAAATGGAAATCATGAAATCAAGGCCGGTTTTACTTCATTTTAAGTAGATTCAACTCATGAGGCAGCTTCCCTACCTCGCAATCCTAATTTTGAAGGGGAGAGCCTTTAAATGAAGGTTACATTTTGTTCCTTGCCCCTTTTAAGCTAACACACTTTTTGTCCTCAAGACTGGAGACCTTATTTTTGATCCACTTTTTTTTTTTTCCACATCAGAAGCAAGCATTTCACGGGTTATGGTACAATTCAAACAAAAGTGAATCTTTTCAGTGTTTTTAAACCAGAAATACATGCAATTTAAAGAGAACAGTGTGGACTCTTTCCTACCAGGACATCACAAACACATACCTATGATTTTTTGATTTTTTTTTTTTACATAAACTGCAGAAACCCTCATTCCCAAAATTCCCTCCAGCAGAGACGACAGTGAGGAATGTGATAGTTACAACATAGATATGAATAATCATAATAAATTAGTTTTCTTAGTCCATATCATACCCAAATAATGTTGAAATCATCTTGTCAAAATAAAACCAAGCACTCTCTAAAAAAGTAACTCAAACCAAACACACACTTTAGCTTTACTTATGTCAAACACAAACTGCCTTATAGAAGAGCGAGTGTCTTGACACAAACATCCAAGCAATGGGCATTAATGCAGTCCTATTTGCAACTGTGAATATTTGTTTTGCAGTTTGTTTCTTGTATCACGCTATTTTATGAATATTAAAATAACATCTGAAGAAAACCTCTAACTAGCATGGCTAGAGTAAAATACGTATGTGTAGTCTCTTACATTAATTGGTTCAATTTAAGTCATATGATACTGACGTACTGAGTAAATCTGGGCCCTAAAATAGGTTGGATTTTGTATTCTATCAAAGATTTGAGAGTCAAAGAAAGGCAATACATGAAAGGGGCTCTGGACTTGGAACGCTTTTTTGCTAACAGAATCAAATACTCTTTTTCTTTGTATGACAAGAACATGAGCCTGCTTATCTGTCTTCTGTAGGACATAGCTTTCTACCCACATTCATGAAATACAGTCCTGGAGGAGTCAGCCTTTGAACCAGATCTCCATGCAACGCTAACCATTCTTCAGAAACAAAACCAGAGTCAAAGTTGCTTAGAAGTACTTACTCAAATACTGAGCTGTCATTCTGATCCCCCCATATAAGGATCTCTGTTATAGAACGAATAGTCTCTACCAGCAGGTTGCGGTTGTGATCTGTTACTGTTGTATTTTTAGTCAAAACATGATACATGTACCTAAAAGAAAACACAATTACAAGTAACATGCTACCCTGCCACTTTCACATGCACCACGTTTGTCATGTTTGGTCACTGTAACTTAATGCAGACACACACATACACACTGTGTCTTACCACTGTACAGTTTTAACATCCAAAAATTTCCTTTTGATATTGCTGCAGAGAGAACAGTAATTATTAAACAGCATATGTGACAAACAAACCCATAACCAGCCAGGTGAGTTATGAATGCTTATGCATGTGTTAACACACGACTAGAAATTACATAACACTTGCCCCATGGTGCCTCTTACGTCAACTCAGTGAACTTCTTTGGAAGTTATGTTAAACCCCAAGGAGTGATGAGCAAGAAAGAAATAGAAGCAGCACGTAAGCATGCAGTAGCTGGCATGGGAAAGTAACTTTGGAAAGATGCACATGCAGATGGAACTAGAAGGCTGGATCCCTTCTCTTGTCTGCAGAGACACTTGACAGACTCATGTCAAGGGGACAGTTAGCCAGCAGGACTGTCAGAGACCATCGATCGCGGCAAAGCTTAATCATCAGGCGCAGGATTACTGAGCAGAAAGGTGGCAAATTCCAGCTTTACCACCTCAAAGGGCAAGAGTTGAAGGCTGTCTAGAGAAGTTTAAAAAAGCACATGTCTACATTGCACAGCGGACAGGAAGCTAAATAAAATTTGAAAGGCTTGTGTTATTAAGTTTCAGAATTTTGCTCAAAGAAGTGCATTTCTCTTGTTTTTCCAAAATTAGTTGTTACATCAAAGATTGCTTCCCTTTGTCCTAAAAAAAGAAAAAAAAAAGGAGGAAGTTCTAATAAAAGGAGAAGAATCACCACAGTTTTACTTATTTTCTTTTTTTGTTTTTATACAGAAAAAGGATGGATGTAACGAAGGAGCACAATTATGAAAGTGATCACAGAAAACAATCAGAGAAATTCCATGTAATTTTAAAACTGCAAGAGTTTAGATTATTAACCACAGAGCACATATTGCTATACTGCAGTCTATTGAAAACCAGGAGTAACGCCTGAGCATTCAGGATTATCTGGACAATACACCCATAAGCATTTGGGAAGGAAGACAGATTTTCCATACTATCAATGTTCCCATGAAAAATGGAGTTAATGAAAACTCCCAGGATCGATTTTTTGGAAAATAGCCTGCATGTCCCAATTCTGGGGCAGCCTGTCATGGTTTTGGATTCCATGAAAGTCTGTTCAGTGATTCAGGTTGAAATCTTGGAAATCTTACTAGTATGATGCAGGAGTTGTGAAGATTTTTAAAGCAACAGACCCAAAGACCGCAAACACCTATTATGTATAAAATAAAAATACCAATTTTGCAAAGCTACAGTAGGGTTCTGAGAAACACTGTGCATTTCTAAACCAAAATGATAGGATGTCTGGTTTAAAGTATATTTCAGAAGTTTAGGTCAAAACCAGACTTCAAATCATGTTTCAAAAAAACAGTATTTCCATCAGCTTTCTCTTCACTAAGCAACTGGATCACTGCACAGGGCACATATACAGCTGGAGACTAGAATGCCATTTAACTGAACACATGTATCAGGCTCCTCCAACTATTTATCAGTCTCATGAAGACAAAACAAGGTATTACCTACTTTCAGAACCTTTTAATACTTGAATTCAATATCGAGAAAAGTTTTATTATATTTGCAGTTCACTTAAAATTTGAAAAATTTGGTTTGGGGAATCTTCTTCTACCACTGAGCTGCCACTCAGTTGGCCAGAGCTTCACAGGGCTTGTTGCGAGACACAGTCCATCCTCACAAGCCACGCAGGAAGCAGAGGCTACTGCAGAGAAGCTATGCTGTTATGGTAAAACGGTATGCTTGCTGATCTTGATATTGCTTGATTATCAAATAATGATTTTACTGTGTTAAATACTGGACAAGGACACTGAGGAATAAACAACCCTCAAGCTGACAGTTTTAACAGGCTTGATACACCACATGCTCCTTCCTCACTCCCCAAACCATCAATGTGATAAAGTCTACATCACAGTAAGGTTAACCTACCAGGCAGCAGAGGAAGTCAGAAGATAAAGGGAAGAGATGGCAGGAGGGGGAAAAGATGGGCTTTTCATACCCTTTCACTTCAGTACAAAATTCTCTCCCTCTTCACACTCTTATTTTCCCCCTCATAAATCAATATTAATTTTCCAGATCCAGAACAGAAACTGCTCAGACTGAAACCATTCTAGGAAAAGTTGATTCATAGCTATCTCCTGCAGACATAACTGCCTGGTCACGTGCCATACCATAACAGAAGTCACTAAAGAGCAAGTCAAAGAGCACCTACAAATCCTCTTCAACTAATCTGAGGATCACTGTGTTCAAGATTCCTTTTATGGAGACTGACAGTGTGACGGTCTACAGTGACGATGTGAGAGTTTAAGTCTCACCACCCATGAGAATTCCCAAGGTCTTTCTAAAAGAGCACACAGACCCTGCAAAAGGTTCCCATTATGGCACTCTACGTATGATGAGGACAGTGAAACAAAAGACAGAGCAAAACCTAAGTCACTGCGCTGAGCGTGAAGCAGCGAGCAGCTGAAGACAGAAGGCAATTAAATCAGAACAGTTCACTCCACTGTGATCTGTAGGAAGTATTTTTCTGAGTGTTAAAGAGTAATTAGAACTACAATACTTCACATATTTTAGCCCATTCATTGAAAATCATATATAAATTACTGCATCTGTGAACACATATTTCTCATTAATAACTTACATTATGCAAACTTGGGAATAAAGTTTACACCAACAGCAGAACTCTGGGAATGAGAATGAGTGGGAAGAACTATGCTATTACCTCACCTTGGGAGTCTATGGAACATCAAGCATTACAGATGCAAAAAGCAGGAAATATTTAATAGTCAGGAATACATTAACTCCAAGTTAATTTACTTAATATCAATGTTACTGCAAAGTTCCTTGATATGCTAACACACTGAGGCTCTTGGACAAAACCTGGGCTTCACTTGTAAGCTATTCCTATACCTGCCTACTTGAAAATGAGTGAGAAAGCATCCACATACTTGTGCCTCTTACCAGAGATGCGACATACTATATCATGAGAATATAAAGTATCACACAAAACCATTATTTTGGTATTTTCATAAATCCTTAAAGCCTATCTTTACATGCTGATTACAAAGGGGTGAAGTTTGTGCTCCAAAATGCTACGCCCTCAAAGAGGAAGTTTCTGTCATCTCTCTCCATATCTGAAGACTGAGTTCAAACAAACAAAAACCTAACAAAACCCCACTATGCAGGAAGCGTCAAAGCACCTCATACCATCAAAATCAGGGGGAGATTTCCCCAACAACTTAACAAGACAAAATTCCTAACATTTTTCTGGTAAGAAGGCATGCTCAAAGGGATGATATAACTCAGTAATACAGAAAGTGTGTATTAATGACTTTCCTACTTATTTCTTACAAAAGCACATGAAAACATAAAGGTTTAGGAAGTCAAGCACCCAAATTTAAAATCCCCAGCCTGACCCGTAACATGCTTGCTTCTTCATGCTGCCTGTAACTATGTATCTCAGAGGAAACCCAATGTATACCATGGAGGGTACTTCAGGAAATGAATCAGCTGTGAAACAAGCCTTCAGTCACACGTCTGTGGACACTGCATCCGACCACGTCATGAGAAACGTTCGGCACCCAACCCTAATGGTATAAAACCTTTTGTGCAATCGGTATGCAATTAAAATACCAAGTGTAGAAGCAACTACAGGAGACATACTTAAAGGTAACAACAGGGCTATGCAAATGCCTCTTAGAAAAGTCGGAAAAAAATTTCCATCTAGAAACAAAAGATACTAAGCTTAAGCCTTTCACTTTAGCAGGAACACCAGAGACATCATCAGATGAACTCTTCAGAAATGGTTAAGATACCACCACTTCAAACCTCTTCATCCATCCCAATGCAAAGTCAAGGTTTGTAGACAGATGGGGAACGAGCATACAGCCACCCCCCCAAGGAGATCTGGCCATGCACGTGCTGAGGTCAGACTGGCCTCAACTGAGTAATACGAAAGACTTGCTACTTTAGCCCTAGGTCACAGCTCCCAGGGTGAGGAGCTGCAGAAGCAGAGTACAGTGACTGCCACAGCACCTGGAGCACTGTAAGACACCCTGACCTACAGAGAAGCCTGGCTCATGGGCAAAGGTAGCCCACGAGAGAAAGGGAAGAAGATGCAGCTTGTGAGAAAGCACTGACTTCAAGTTTGTACTGCAAGGCAGGCTGTTGCCCAAGACAGCCCTGATGCGTCTGCTTTCAGACCTGGAAGCATGTAACAAACAGAGCAGAGGACTATATACAGGGAGGGGGAAAAAAAAGTCTCATTTCAAACTGCTGGATGCCACTTTTAAGAAGCTGATTCTGGCCTTGTTTAGGCATAATGTCATGTAAAGATAAACAAGTTGTTTCAGATCATTTTCACAAGCAATCACTAACATTGTTCCTGTTTTCAGGATATTTAGGCTTTCTCCATTTATTAAGTTATTGACATTCCCTCAATTATTAACCAAAATAGCATTCAGAAACAGTCACACAGTGCATAGTACTGTTTCACAGCCTCTCTAGATTGCAATTGAGCAAGGTGTTAGAAAGCTGGATTAAATTATAACTGTTTTCACTGTATCAAAACAATACCAACAACCTCACAATTTTCCTTTAGCCAATCCTTTCTGCAGCATGTTTGCCGAAAGACTGAACAGTAAGATTTCAAAAGCAAGCCTCAAATAAAACACATTAAAGATGATGGGAAAGGAAGTTCCAGATCCAACATTTACTACCAAAAAGCAGTAATTCTCTCAGTATTACTAAACTGGTGTATTGCTTACAATTTAGACTAATCTCTACATTATGCATGTTAAAAAATAAATATATTGCTATAAGGAAACCCCAGGCTAATTTCACTCTTCTAACATGTGAACATGCTCTGACAGGCAAAGCCGACC